AAAAAAAAAAAAACCCAAAAAACAAAACCCAACTCAATAGCTCTGTAGAGCACAGAGACCTTAATAAATTGGATGGTGGCTGTGACAACTGCTCCACCACTTCTGGCCTTGGCTGAGCAGCTAAAAGTACACACCCTGCACCCAGGTGTCTGGGTTCAAAGCTAGGCCTAGCTGCTTTTTTTTAAAAAAAAAATTTTTTTTATTATTATTACTTTTAATGAAAATTTACAGAAACTTTGGATTTCCATTCATTCATTGTTGCACTTTTATCCCTGCCCACCCCTCTGACCTCAGTACACTTCTTCCCTTTGAGAAGTAAAATTCTTTCATTGTTTTATAATCCCTCCCCCCAGGTCCACTCCACTATGCAGTCTTCGTTCTGAGAATACCTAATCACATATGCCTTTTAAACAGTTTTCTCCCTCATCTGTTTCAGTGCCATATACATTATTTATCTCATGTTTCTGAGTCTCCCCCCAACCCTGATGTCAGTCCTGTTTTACAACAGTGGCACAATGCAGTATTTGTCCTTTTGTAACTGAGATATTTCACTTAGCATAATGTCCTCCAGGGTCACCATTTTTAATAATATTGCATGAGTTCCTTGTTTTTCAATGCAGCATAGTATTCCATTGTGTGAATATACCACAGCTTCTCTATCCATTCGTTTGTTGATGGGCACTTAGGCTGTTTCCAGCTCCTTGCTATTGTGAACAAAGCCGCGATAAACATGGGTGTGCGTATATCTGCTTGGGTGGCAGTTACGGTCTCTTTGGGGTATATTCCCAGTAGTGGAATTGCTGGGTCATATAGTATCTCTATTTGCAACTTTTTGAGAAAGCGCCACACCACCTTCCACAGTGGTTGCACCAGGCCCAGCTGCTTTAAAACATAGTCTCTCAGTGCCTTCCTCACAGTAGCTGCCCATTCTAATGGTCATAATATTAAAAGCCCTTAATTATTGTCAGGACTTAATCTATGTCCATTTCCCACTTACCACAGAGCTGGCTCAGTGAAAATTCTCGGGAAGTGGGTTCCTGTTTCTCAGGGGCTGAGCTCTGACGAGTTAAGTCTAACCTCACCTCACCCCCCCCCACCTCAGCCCTCTGAGAACACACGGCTTACTGCTCCTCCTTCCCCGCCTCTCCGCTCTGATGTCACCTCCTCAGAGCCATCTGCCCTGACCACCTGTTTAAGTCACACCTTCACATATATGGAGGCCTCCCTCCCCCATTCCCTGCCTTTTCTCCAGAGCACTTAGTACTTTCCATCAATAAATACCTTTTGCACATTACCTAATTATACGGATTCTGTCAGTTTTACTATGTCTTCCCCACCATAATGCTATAAAGACAGGAATTTTGTTCACTGCTGTAATCCCAGCCTCAGAACAGTGCCTACTGACTAAGAGGTGCTCAATAAATAGCTAGATGAATGAAGTGAGTTTGTTTGTAAGTAACAGTCTCTACTTCATAATAAACCCCTGGGATTGTCCATATAAAAGTGCTTAGCCCAGGGCCCAATCTGCTGACTTAAGGATGGACATTACGACAATTTGGGCTTTGTTCTTGGAGGTTCTTGTCAAGCTTCTGTGAGTAAACCGACACAAAGTACCTGAGAATGGGGCTTGGCATATAGTGAATGATTACTGAGTGGGAGTGATCATTTTAGTTTGGCATATATTTTCTTTTAGTTTTTTGAAGATGAAAGTTAAATAGATTTATTAGGAAAAGCACATCCCAGAGGAACAGGATGGTCCTTCCGCCCTGGAGAGAAAGCAATGGAGGAGGCCCAGCATCTATTCTCAAAGGTGATTTGGTGCCATGTTTCTGTGTATTGGAATTTCCCACTGCAGAACAGAGCCTCAGTTTTGAGCAATTTGTAAGGAACTGGCCCTCTGCCACTTGTCTAACATACCTTCCCCCCATGACATCTCTGGTCCCCTTGGCTTCTGCCTCCTCATGCCTAGAACATTCTTCTCCACAAGCCTGCATGGCTCTCTCCCTCACCTCCTTCAAGACCCTGAGCAAATGTCACCTCCTCAGGGAGGCTTAAAACTTGTTGCCACCAAGTCAATGACAACTCACAGTGACCCCATGGGCTGCAGAGTGGAAGTGTGCTCCCTCTCAGGGGGTTCAATCTTTCAGAGAGAGACGACCAGTCCCTTCTGTGGATTCAAACCAGCTACTTGCCAGTTTGTAGCCATGAGGAAACCAAAGGACGCCACCCAGGGACCTCAGGGAGGACTAACTCCTTTCCACAATGAGAGAGTTGCATTGCTAACTCAAAGGCCAGCTCTTAACCCAAAGGCCGAAGTTCGAATCTAGTAGCTGCTTTGAGGGAGACACAGTCTCCTACAGTGTGATTTACAGATTTATAGAAACCCAAAAGAGGCTCAGCCATGTGTCCATTCTGCCTCAGCGGTGTTGAGGTTTTGAGTTTCCCAGCACGCTGGCTCGCCCCTGCTGTTTTCTCTCCCCAGTTTGCATCACTACCCAGCATGTACTAGAACTTGCTTGTTTGTTTATGGTCTGTTTTCACCAGTGCTCCCTTCACTCCCCACATAAGGTCCTTTAGGACAAGAATTTTGTTTTATTCACTGGTATATGCTCAGAGCTCTCAGCAGCAGAGCAAACACTCAAAGCATATCTGTTAAATGAATTAACGGATTGCAATCTCCACCTCAGAGTTATTCTAAGGACTTGATGATCTCACAGGAAAAAGTATGTAGGAAAGCAGCAGCAGCAGCAGCTATAATTATAATTAAGATTCTATTTTGGTGAGTTCCTAGATGCACAACTTCCCTGTGTCATATATATATACACATATGAGGCACTAGTGCGGCACTTGGCACCCAGGAAGCGCCTGGTAAAACGTAGCTATAATTATCATTAAAGTCTCTTTGTAAAGACTTCAGCAATATGGCAGCAAGCCTTAGCTGTCCTCCAAAATCTGTTCTCTGCTTCTGGACACTTGGCTCCACGGCCTTTCCCAGGCTCCCTTGCAGTTGGCGGTAGCCATGTGACTGGTTGCTTAGCAACATGTGCAGGTTCCAAGCCAGGGCTTGTGAGAGGCCCCATGTCCTTCTAGACGTTCTTCTAGTTCACACGGTGGGACCCCAAGGTGGCCACCCTCCCTCAGTCACGAGGGTGACCTCAAGCCTAAAGGAGATCTTCCCCCCACCCAGAAACACCCAGCCTGAACTCTGTGTGTTTGTGTGTACAAATGCTGTTGTATTAGTGATGTTTTGGGTTGGCGTCACTGCCATAGGCCTACCCAACTGGTTTAGCATCCAGCTTCGAGGTGCAAATCCAAGGATGGAAGCATTCTATGGTGATCTTAAGGCTCCCTGAGTACGGAGGTGCCCAGGAGACAGTGCCTGTGCACACATGCGCGCGCGCGCGCGCGCGCACACACACACACACACACACACACACACACACACAACACGGGCCAGACACCTGCTGGACTGACACACACAGAGTCTGGCGTTTATTCTGCCCTTCACACATCTACTGCTAAGACGACACAGATCAGCAGGATCCCGTCTCCCATGTGACCACCCCTACCTGCCCAGTCCCTTCCTCCCATCCTGCCGAGCAGCCAGGTGGGGGCTTCTGCCTACACCTCACCCCGGTGCTTGGGCAGGGGGGCTCTGCCTACATTTCGCCCCGGCACCCAGGCAAGGGCTCTGCCTACACCTCACCCCTGGCGTGAAGCATGAAGTGGCCATGCAGCTCTCCCAGGCTGTCGAAGGAATCCTCACACTCAGTGCACTGGTAGGCACCCTCTTCCTCCTCCTCTTCCTCTTCCTCCCTCCCAGCTCCCCTGACCTCCCCAGACCCTTCCCCAGCCCGAGGCAGCTCCTCCTCTTCCTCCCCGAGGGCCCTGACTTCAGGGGCTGGTGCTTCCTGGGGGGCTGGAGCAGGGCAGCAGAGCCGGCAAGGTGGGGTGCCTGGTGGGGCCTCCCCAAGGGGTGAGCGGCCACAGAGCTGGCAGGGCTGGGCTGGGGGGCCCAGGGGCTGGGCAGCTCGGGGGGCCCGGCGGGATGGGCCCCCCCGGCCTCCCCCCAGGCGCTGCTTCACCTTGTAGCCGGGGTCATATTCAGGATCATCAGTGGTCTCCTCTTCCTCCTCCTCTTCATCTTCCTCCTCCTCGGAGTCAGGTTCTGAGAGAGTGTACTCGGAGTCTGAGGAGTGCTCGGGGCCTTGATGGGGACAGACAGAGAATGACAGTGAGGCCAGAGGACACAGGGCCATACCAAGCAGTCCCTCCCTGCAGAGCCTCGCCAAACTCACCACAAGCTGGGAGGCCCAGCGACACCCCACCTACCCCCACCCCATTCCTTCACAGAATGCCCAGTGTACTCAGCAGGCCCCAGGCCACCACAGGTACTCAGTCCCTGTGTCAAACCAATGGATGTCTTTTACATCTCTGGGGCTTCATATTGACAAAGAAGGAGTGGCAGCTGTAGAGAAACAATGATGCTTGATCCATTGAGAGCTGGCATCCCACAGGGCTGCCTTTTTCTCTGGGTCTCTAAAGGTCTCCTGCTTTTAAGAAGGCACAGGGGGTCCTGGTGGCTTAGTGGCAAGTTGTGCTGCCAACCCCAAGGCCTGTAGTTTGAATTAATTCACCAGCTGCTGTGATGGAGAAAGATGGGCAATCTCCTCCCAGGAAATTTACAGCCTCTGAAAACTGGCTGCAAGGTCAGCTACGAGTAGGTTCCAACTTGGTGACAATCAGTCTTCATTTTTCTATCACAGTCTGTTAGTGGAAAATACTGGTGTTTTCCTTCTCTGACAGGTTTCCAGCGCTCACAGGTTCCAGCTTTGGCAGGTTTTACCTTACAAGTTTCCTCCTCAAGCCCTTGATGTAGATAAACTCCTTTAATCCACACAAGTCTTTCAGGGAGATACTCTCATCATGCTCAAATGATAAATGGGAAACCAAAGGAGAGAGGTTGGGTAGCTCTCGTCACACAGTTCTAACATGGAATGTATTCCTGGCCGAGGGCCTATGAGGGATAGTTGTAGGGAACTGAACAAGTGCTCATTTGAATAGGTATTCTAGCAAATAGAAACACCACGTGCCAATCCACCACATCCACAGATACCCTAGTTGCAAATTTAACAACTGGCTAAAATACATTGTTGTTGTTGTTATGTGCCGTCGAGTCGCCTGCGACTCATAGCGACCCTATGTACAACAGCCCTAAACTCTGCTCTGTCCTGTGCCAATCGCACTGTCTCTGACACTCCCATCCCAATTATCCCAGTCACTGAATCAATCCACCTCATAGAGGGCCTTCCTCTCCTGCACTGTCCCTCCACTCTCCCAAGCATGATGTCCCTCTCTAAGGACCGGTCTCTCCTCACAAAATGTCCAAAGTATGTTAGACGGAGCCTCAGAATCCTTGCCTCCAAGGAGCCACCCGGTTTAACCCTTTCCAGGACAAATCTGTTTGTTTTCCTAGCAGTCCATGGTATTCTCAATACTCTTCTCCAGCACCACAGCTCAAAGGCATCAATTCTCCTTCTATCCTCCTTGGTCATTGTCCAACTCTCTGAAGCATAACAGGTGATTGCGAAGACCATGGCCTGTATCAGACGCACCTTAGTCTCCAATTTAGTAACCCTGAAATTACTTTCAGGCTCTCTAGCGGTCATGCATGGGCATGCACAGAACTTGAGTTTTCTGACTCATATCTTTGCAGCTGAAGTCGAATATACGACTCTGCCTTTTCATTTCCACTCTTATCCTGAAAACCAGTGGTGTCTTTGTCCCATGTTTTAGAATTTATAAGCTTTATGCTGTTGGTGGTGATGGAGATTTTTTTGGATTAAAACGGCCTCTAAGCCCCGTGCTAAAGTGCTGGCTGTTATTTCTAAGCACTGAGCCTCCTGGGAAAATGCGTACATTAGGCAAGCTTCACATAAGTATCAGCACAGGACTACTGGATAGGGACTCAATGTTAACAAATCACCAATATACAGGAAATACATTTTAAAAATAAAACACAACTGTGTTCTGACATCAGTGGGGGCTGTGACCAGAGGCTTGCAGGAACGCATGCAGCCTTATATCAACCAGGAACAGAAAGTGACAGCATAGTATTTGTTAAACGCCTACCGCTCTAAGTCTAGGTCCTGTAGAGTCTGTGCTGACTCAAGTGGGTCACAGCAGAATTGTGTTTGCAGGGTTTTCAGTGACTGATTTTTTTTTGGAAGTGCATCACCAGGCCTTTTGTCTGAGGCCCCTCAGGGTGACCTCTGAACGCCAACCTCCAACTTTCCCGTTAGTAGTCAAACATGTTAACTGTTTACATCACCCAGAATTAAAAAAACTCAACTCATGACAGACTCACAGCTGGCCCTCGGGCGGGTTTTCTGGGGCAGTAAATTGCACAGGAGAAGACTGCCTATCATTCTCCCAGCTTCTGTGGGACTCAAACTGCCTGTCTTTGGGTTGGAAGTGTAACTCCTTACACACTAGGCCATTAGAACTACCTGTATTACTCAGAGAGTCCTCAAAAAGCACAACTTGATTATGCTAATGCAAAGCCTATACTTGGACCAGGAGGTAGTCATCAGAACAGAGCGCAAAAACAATACATGGTTCAAACTTGGGAAGCGTGTATGCCAGGAATGTGTCCTATCTCCTATGAGGAACAGATTATCCGGGAGTCTGGGATCTATGAGAAGAAATGTGGCATCAGGATTGGAGGAAGACTCATCAACAATCTGCACTATGCAGATGACACAACCCTGCTTGCTGAAACTGAGGAGGACCTGAAGCACTTGCTGCAGAAGGTCAAGAATTGCAGCCTCCAATATGGACTGAAGCTCAACATCAAGAAAACAAAGATTCTTACCACAGGGCTGATTGGCAGCATTGTGATGGATGGTGAAGAGACTGAGATTGTTAACAGCTTTAGTTTGCTTGGCTCTACAATCAACACTTGTGGTACCAGAAGCCAGGAAATAAAAAAGACAAATTAAATTGCATAGGGAAAATCTGCTGTCAGAGACCAACGTACTGAAGAACAACGATGTCAGTCTGGAGACCAGGGTGTGCCTGATAGAGGCCATGATCTTTGCAATTACTTGCTATGCATAGGAAAGCTTGACAATGACTAGGGATGATAGAAGGAGAATTGATGCCTTTGAGCTGTGGTGTTGGACAAGAGTACTGAATATACCATGAACTGCTAGGAGAACAAACAAGTTTATCCTAGGGAAGGTGAAACCAGACAGCTCCTTGGAGGCAAGGATTCTGAAGCTTCGTCTGACGTACTTTGGACATGTTGCAAGGCAGAACCAGTCTTTGGAGAGTCATGCTTGGGAGGATGGAGGGACAGCATAAGAGAGGAAGACCTTCAACAATGAGATGGATTCATTCAGTGAGTGACTGGGGTAATGGGGGTAGGTGTGTAAGAGACAATGAGATTGGCACAGGATAGAGCAGGGTTTAGGGCTGTTGTACACAGGGTCATTATGAGTCTCAGGTGACTCGACAGCACATAACAACAACAAAACCCCAGTGAATTCTTCCTGTAGGTAGTGGGAAACAAAATTAATAGTTCACATGCCACTCTTAAATGTTTCTGTATTTGAAAACAGCCCAGTAAACATCTAAAGTTGAACTAGCAGCCTATTTCAAACAGATTGGATCACTGGTTAAAACCTTTTAAATGCAGAGAAGAAACCAGGTACGGAAACTTCCCAGATAGTGGGACACTGTTGAGTAATTGATAATGTGCTGTGTGAATGAAGTGATGCTTTAACTCTGATTTTGTGTTTTAAAGTTAAGACATGGGCATTTTGTCAGCAAACTTAAGGACATTTTGTCACCCTCTATGCTTTTTTTTTTTTTTTTTTTTACCCTCTATGCTTTTAATGTGGCTCTACATGATGTGAGAGAGGATTTAAAGTTTAGCAAGAAATAGCTTAGGGAGAGGGAAACAACTCTTTGGGATGAAACGTTTTCTTGTGTGATGGTTTAATTACAGAATAAAAAAACCCTGGAAGGGTAAAAAAACCCTACAACTACCATGAATCCTGAGAACGGACTATATAGACATATATACTATATATACTTTGTTATATGTAGTTTTATATGCACATTTAGTGAGTTCTGGTAGCCTAGTGGTAAGAAACTGAGTTGCAATGTCAAAGGTTCTTAGTTCAAATTTACCAGTTGTTCCATAGGAAACTGATGAGCAATCTCCTCCCATGAGATTTACTGCCTCTGAAAACCTGCTGGAGGGTCAGCTGTGAGTCAGTTCCAACTCAACAACACACAACAACAGCATATGCATACATAAATATTCAGCTAAGTAAATAAAAATATTTATTAACAGAGCTGGTTTACTCTTGATTAACTTAGAAGCTGGGAATCCAAACCTACCCAATAGTGCCACTGAAGGAAAGCCTGGCAATCTGCTCCTGTCGACAGTATCGCTAATAAGACTCCACCGAGCAGTTCTACCCTGTAGCAACAACCAACACGTCACTGTGAGTCAGAATCACCTCTCTGGCAACAGGTTTCATAGACACCTGTGTGGTTACCTGCCATCAAGGCCCCAGCTCATGCTAACCCCACGTACATTGGAGCAAAACGCTGCCTGGATCTGAACTAGCTCCATGATCAGTCTTGGATCAGCCTGCTGGGATACACAGGGTGTCCACTGGCTGATTTTCAGAAGCAGGATGCCAGGCCTTTCTTCCTGGTCTTAGCCTGTACTCAGCACCACAGCAACACAAGAATCCCCACTGACACTGACAGGTGGGAAGTGGGTGGTGGTACATGAGGCACACTGGCCAAAAGTCAAACCTGGGTCTCCTGTAAAAAGGGCGAGAATTATGTGCCCATTGCCACTGAGTTCATTCCAACTCCTAGGGACCCTACTGGCCGAGGTGGAGCTGTCCAACAGAATTTCCAAAGATACCCAAACATATACACACACAGACATAGATGTACACACACGCATGCACATAAAATCTTCATGGATACAGTAGAGTGGTTTGTGGGTTCAAACCACCGACCTTTCAGTCAGTAGCTCAGTGCTTAACCACTGCACCACCAATGCTCATTGTGGTTAGGTGCCAACAAAGTAACTACAGCTCATAGCAACTCTATGAACAACAGATCTAAACCCTGCCCAGCCCTGCGCCATCCTCACGACCTCCTGTATGTGGTTTCTGGAGGCTCTAAATCACTCTCGTGGCTTAATGGTAAGAAGTTGTGCTGGCAACCCAAAGGAACACAGTTTGAATCACCAGCTGCTCCATAGGAGGATTAACAGTCTCCTCTTGTGCAGTTGAAAACCCACTGGAGGGTCAGCTGGGGGCTGGTTCTGACTCAATGGTACTCAACAGATCACACAGGAGGAGAATACCCCTCCTTTCTTGTGGAGCTGCTCGTGGATTCAAAATGCCAGGAGGTGCAGCCTTTGGGTTAGTACTGCACACACTGTGCCACCAGTGCTCTATCTAAGGACACATGCTCTTTAGAGGCAAGGAGGGCAACGCTTCACCTCACACACTTTGGACATGCTGCGAGGAAACGTAAGGACATCCTGCTTGGAAAGGTAGAGGAGCAGAGACGGAGCGAAGACCCTCCGTGAGGTGGCCTGAGGCCATGACTGCAGCAATGGGCTGTATGTCGGAAAGTGTGAGGATGGCACAGGATAGGACAGGATTCAGATCTGTTTTCAAAGGGTCGTTATGAGTCGTACTTGATGGCATCTAAAACAACAAAGATACATATATTACTATGACTACATGGGCCTTGCTAGAACAAGTTTAGAGTTCTAAAAAAACACACAGTTGGAACTCCAGGAGGACAGGCCCACAGGTCCGTGGCATCCCCCAGCCCAAAATGGGGAGTAAATGACTGAGGGACCCCAGCCCCTACAACTCTCTCTTACCTGTTTCTACCTTTCTGTCCAACTGTCTCCCTGCAATTTAACAAAGGTTTCCTCCACTGTTCCCTACTATCCGCCTGTGACCTCCTGCTCATCTTCCAAGACCCAGCGTGGACTCCATCCTCTATGAAGCTACCATCTCTGGTGCCCAGACCCCTCTCTGGGCCCCTAGGCAGAGATGTCTCCCCACTTGCCCCTTAACCACACACCCCTAATCACTGCCCTGATCACCCTGGAGGCTGAAGTCATTCAAGTCCCAATATGCCTCCTCTCTCAGACTGGGACCCACTAGGGCAGGCCTGACTCATCCGGAGGGATCCCTCATCCAGCCCAGCACAGGGATGTGGGTCAGATGGACAAGAAGGCTAACAGCCCCAGCGCAGGGCCAGGGCCCCTCCCCGCAGTCTCCGCCCACCTCTGACTTCACACCAGCTGCCCAGCAAGGTCTTTACTTCCCACTGTGACTTCACCCAGTGGCCTGTGAAAGGCAATCAGGTCATCGTTCACAGCTAGCCGGTCTTTTACGCCTACTGTGACTCCCAGAACCGCAGCCCTTTTGTACCCACCATGCCTTCTCCACCTGTGAGAGCCACAAAGCCCGGCATGTTGCCAGCATCCACTGGGCCATCCGTGCCCGTGTCGCCCAGGGCTCCTGGCTCCCTGAGGCGCACCATGCCAGCAGTGCCCAACACCTCCTCAGCGGCTCCCAAGCCATCAGCCGCCCCCGACTTATCCAGCAGCCCAAGCAGTTCCAAGTCCACCAAGTCAACAGGTACAAGGGCACCTTCTAACCCACCCCACAGCAAGTCCCAGGCCCGAGACAAAGCAAGAACACCCAGCAAGGCCAGCACAGACAACAAGCCCAGCAGGGCCAGTGGAACGAGACACACCGAGCAAAGGAGCACACAGAGCCGGGTCAGAACTGGCAGAAACGTTACCCCCAATTCCAAGAGCTCACCCAGCAGTGTCAGCACACCCAGCAGGAGAACTCACAGGGCCAGATCGGGTGTGCCTGGGAGGGTGAGAACTCCTGCTGTCCAGCGCAAACACCCCAGGAAGAGGAGTGGCAAGAACAAGCCTGGGGCTGTGAGCAGTGAGAAGAGTGCCAGTCAACCAGGGGCCTCGGGAATGGGGAGCAGCGCTGGGGCGGCTGCCAAATCCAGCAGGGCCAGGAGTAACAGCCCGACCAGGACAGTCAGCAAGAAGAGGGACAGTCAGTCGCCCACGTTACCAAGGAGAGCAAGGAGTTACAGTCAGATAATTGCCCTTGGCCCACTTAAGCTGTCTGGTGGGGTCATGAGTTACAATCTGGACAGTGCACCTGGAAGGACCAAAAATCAGAGCCCGTACAGGTCCTCCAGCAGGACCAGAAGTCACAGCCAGGCCAGGATCCTCAGACGGGTAAGAAGTCACAGCTGGTCTAGAACCCCCAAAAGGAACCTACGTCGCAGCTGGTCTAGGTCTCCCAGCAGAACCAGAAGTGACAGCCGGTCCAGGACCCCTAGAAGGGTAAGAAGTCACAGCTGGTCTAGGTCCCCTAGCAGGACCAGAAGTCACAGCTGGTCTAAAACCCCCAGAAGGAATATAAGTCACACCTGGTTTAGGTCCTCCAGCAGGACCAGAAATCACAGCCAATCTAGGTTCCCCAGCAAGACCAGAAGTCACGGACGACCTAGGTCCCCAAGTAAGACCAGAAATCATAGCTGGTCTAGGTCCCCCAGCAGGACCAGAAGTCATGGCCACTCTAGGTCCCCCAGCAGGACCAGAAGTCATGGCCAATCTAGGTCCCCCAGGAGAGCAGGGAGCCATAGCCGATCCAGAAGCAGAAGCAGGCACAGCCGGTCTAGAACTCCCAGAAGGACAAGGAACCACAGCTGGAACAGATCTCACAGTCAGACGAGAAATCCCACACAAAAGGCAACTCCTACTCAGACAAGAAGACTCAGCAGGTCCCGAACCCATAGCAAGGGCAAAAGTCATCTCCTGTCTAGACGTGTCAGTAGAGACAGAAGTTCTAGCTGGTTCAGAAGTCCCAGCAGGGAGAAATACTACTGTAGATTCAGGACACCCAGCAAAGGTTGGGGCAGCAGCAGGTCTAGAACTCCCAGCAGGGAGAGACAACAGAGCCGATCGAGAAGCCCCAGCATGGAGACAGAAACCAGCCGATTCAGAGCCCTCATCACAAAGCACTATGACAGTCGAGCCACGACCTCCAGCCGGGAGAGAGATCACAGCCCATCTGGAAGCCCGAGAAGGGAAAGAAGTCCTGGCCAATCTAGAATAGTCAGTAAGACTCTTCACGGGCAACCAGGAACCCTGAGCCGAGAGAGGAGGAGTCACAGTCACTCCAGAAACCCCCACGAAGAGAAGAGTCATAACCAATCCAGAAAATCCAGCAAGGAGAAAGAACACAGCCAATCTAGAGTCTGTATGAGTCCCACCCAGAAGAGTTCCTCCAGTAGGGAAAGGAGTCCCAGTCAGACCAGAACCTCTACCTACACAGAGCCCCTCCTTGGCCAGACCTTCCAGCAAGACCCACACCCCCACCCAGCACAGGACGCACATCAACACCACGTCTAAGACCCCCTTACCTGGGGAGAGGTCTTCGTCTTCGTCTTCTAAGCTGGCATAGCCCCCGGTCTCAGCAGGTTCACGGGTCTCTGTCATGGCCGGGGGAGGGGACAAGCGATAGGAGCAGAGCAGCAGCTGGGCAGTGTCCCTCCCTGGCCAGCTCTCCACAGCCACACCTCTGGCCACAAGCTCCTCTCCCAAGTGTATGATTGGCAGGTTGAGAAGGATGCTGTGGAGGGTGAAAGAAAGGCCTGGGGTGACTCAATAAATTTTCACAAAGCATTTCCCAGGCTTAGCTTTGTGGTCAACTTTGGGGATGAGACAAAAATGGCTGGAGTTTTGTCCTGCATCTGCAGACCTTGGCTGGCGACCTCTGTTGTTCTCACTCACTTTCCTCAGGTACTTGGCCCAGGTGCCAATCAGAAGCAGGAATGGAGGGAGGCCCTGTCCATTAACCCTGAAGGTGCTGAGCAGGTTGGAGGTCTGGGATTGGGAGAAGGTCCAAAGTGACAGTGGAGGGTAGGGATTACTTGGTGTAACAGTGATAGTATCGTCAGTCAGAAAATATTTCAGTATTTAATTGAGTGTGTGTGTGTGCGTGCATGTGTGTGCTGTGCTATGCTGTGGGTTTTTGTTTGGGGTTTGTGGGGATTTTTGCATTGATTTTTTAAAATTATTATTATTAATGTTAATGAAAGTTTACAGAGACCTTGGATTTCCATTCATTCATTAGTGCACTTTTCTTCCTGCCCACCCCTCCCCCCCAGTTCGCTCTTCTCTTTGAAAAGTAAAATTCTTTCATTGTTATACAATCCCTCCCCCCATGTCCACTCCACTATGCAGCCTTCATTCTGGACTCCTGTCATGACAATAACACCTAATCATATATCCCTTTTAAAGTTCTCTCCCTCATCTGTTTCAATGCAGTATACATAAATTATCCCATCTTTCTCAGATACCCCCCAGCCCCAATGCCAGTCCCATTTTACAACAGTGGTATTATGCAGTATTTGTCCTTTTGTGACTGAGATATTTCATTCAGCATAATGTCCTCCAGGGTCACCCATTTTGTATACCTCATGAGTTCCTTGTTTTTCAACCACAGTTCCTCTTTCCATTCATTTGTTGATGGACACTTGGGTTGTTTCCTACTCTTTGCTATTATGAACAAAGCCACGATAAACATGGGTGTGCATGTATCTGCTTGGGTGGTGGTTACGGTATCTTTGGGGTATGTTCCCAGTAGTGGAACTGCTGGGTCAAATGGTATTTCTACTTGTAACTTTCTGACAAAGCGTCACACCGCCTTCCATAGTGGTTGCACCATTTTACACTCCCACCAACAATGAATAAGGGTTCCAGTTTCTCCACAACCTCGCCAGCATTTGTTGTTTACTGTTCTGTTAAATTTTGCTATTCTTACTGGGGTGAGATGATATCTCATAGTTGAGCAAAAAAATAGGGCTACTCCAACCTGTTAATGTTAGCCCTACTTCTCTATAAATTTATACCGTGGAACAATGGTGTCTACTTGTGAATCCTAAACCTGCCATTCTACAGTTGTCTCACCATCAAACTCAGGGCTCAACTCAGGGAGCTCTGGTGGCCTCGTGGCAAGAAGCTATGCTGCAATCCTGAAGGCACACAGTTCAAGGCCACCAGCTGTACTGTGGGAGAAAGCTGGGCAATTTCTCCTGTATGATTAACAGCCTCTGAAAAGCTACCCAGAGGGTCAGCTATGGGTCAGTTCCAACTCGACAGTACACAACAACAAGGGCTCAACTAATGTTTTCCTTATGAGTAAGTTAAGAAAAGGATAATACCCCCATTATACAGAAGAGAACACTAAGGCACAGCAAGAATAAACAACTAGCCCAGTGTCACAGCTTCTGGTAGGTGCTGAACTAGACTTCAAGATCTCATAAAATGATCTTCCTTTGGGAAGGTTCATAAACAGAAATTGCCACTATGCAATAGGTACTCCCTGAACAGAAATAGTTGGTTTTCCCACTCCTTTATAAACTCCAGCCATCCAGACTTCTAGTCCTTTCTGTACACACCTAAGCCCTTCCACAGCTTTTTTTTTATTTTTTATATTGGTTTTCATACAAAATTTATATATATTGTTTCACACTATCCTTCAATCACACTGTTTCATTATTCTCAATGTTAGCTATAATTTGCTGTGATCCACACAGTCTAATCCTTTTGCACAGTCAATGAAATACAGATAAATAAATATAATAAACTACAGACATCCTTCTGGTATTCCTCTCACATTGGTAATAATATTTCTGGTGTCACCACCTCTTCTAAAGCTGGCTTAGGGTGCTGGCAGTTGTATGCTGATATACTGTTCCAACTGTATTTTAATAATCTTCAGCAAGATTTTACTTGTATGTGATATTGGTATTCATAATCCCCAGCCCTTCCACATCTTTTGCTATCTAAAATGTCTTCCTTTGCCCTAGGTTGCCTGGAGAACTCCTATTCATTCCTCAAAGGTCACAGCCTCTGCAATTCCTTCCAATCCAAATACTTCTTCAAAAATGCCTTCTTTCCTCTCTTCCTCTTCACACCCCCTTACCCCTTTTCTGTTTTCCACTATACTCCCTGAAAAGACCCCTGGTGGCGCAATGGTTAAGCACTTGATTGCTAACTAAAAAGTCCACAGGAGCAAAGATGTGCATAAGATTATAGTCTTAACCTTCCAGGGGCAGCTCAACTCTCTCCAGAAGGGTGCCTGGGCGATGGAATCTACTTTACTGAAGGAGGTTGGGTTTATCTTGGGGTACCCCTTGAAAGTAGACAGCCAGTTAGCAAAGAGGCTAAGAGCCTCAGCTGTACCCTTTATAAGGCAAGGCCTGTGCTAGGCACTGGGAACAGATGGAAAAGAAATGGTTCCTTCAAGCTTAGAGGTCAAGTTTAATGCTAAGGCTAGTGAAAAACCAGGCTGAAACCTAGAGCTAGGAATGGCAGCATTGCTAAGCGAGTTTCCCAAATAAGACACCTGGTCCTGGGCTTTAAAGGACCAGAAAGTTCTCATGATACTGTATTTGCCTGAGAGTCTCCACGAATTTGGGAATTCTACAGTGACTGCAACAGTGAGCTCAAGTGTATCAAAGATTGTGAGCGATGGCACAGGATAGAACAGGGTTCAGATCTGTTGTTCATAGGGTTGCTACGAGTCATACTCAACTCGACAGCATCTAACAACAGCTTAACTCTAGGGAGCTCTGGTGGCTTAGTGGTAAGGAACTGCGCTGCCAACCCAAAGGTACACAGTTCAAATCCATCAGCCGCTCAGTGGAAGACAGACAGACAACCTCTACACAGTTTACTACCTCTGAAAACCCACTGGAGAGTCAACCATGAGTTGGTTCCAACTGGGTGGACACAACTTAATTCTGGGAGCTCTGGTGGCTTAGTGGTAAGGTGTTGTACTGTCAACCCAAAGGCACTGGGTTCGAATCCACCAGCTGCTCTACTGGAGAAAGATGGGATTTATAGCCTCTGAAAACCCTGCTGGAGAGTCAGCTATGAGTCAGTTCTGGCTTGACCAAACATAACAATACCAACTCTAGGATAAAGTTGCTAGATTAAGCAAATAAAAACAGAGAGCACCCAGTTACATTTTAATTTCAAATAAATATTTAAGGTAAGCAGGTCACTTGCAATAGTTTAGAGTATAATTTTCAAAAGTATTATTCAGTGTTTAACTGAATTGACAATTTAAAGGGGTGTCCTAGTGCAACAATGAATGAGTGGAAGCCCAAAATCTCTGTAAATGTTTATGAAAATTAATAAAATATAATTATAGGAAATGTAAAAAAAAAAAAAA